CTTTAGTTATGGAAGGGTTTTACACCCAGCATGCTGACATTTCTGCCTGATGCTTCTGATTCCAGTGCTGCAAAATCCATATTCTGCTGCTTACAGAGTAAGATGGGTGACTGTTGTCCAAACAAGACCTATGTATGAAGACAGGCACTGGATTTCAGATCACATGGTCTAAGTAGCATTATCGTGCATGGATTACAATGGTTAACAGGAGGCTTTATGATAGTTACCATTGCAGTGGTTAACAGGAGTTTTCGTAGCTGAAGAACTTTAGGAGTGGATTTTTACACTTCATATCTAACGTGGTAGAAAGTATGAGTTTGTTCTTCAGGTTGCGTGTGTGTGATGCCTTAGCATATTAACTGACCCATTCCAAACTATGTAGGTCTAGAGTACAGCTGGCTGTGGAGCAGCTGAGTAGAAAGATGGTATCAGCTAACTGAGCTCTGACCAACCTGTTTTCTTAAGGCAGCATAGCTCATGTGCTCAGGTTGTGTTTGCACTTGTATCGGTCTGTGTTCCTTTCCCCTCTCGGGCACTCTCGCTTGCTTTTGCTTTCTTACCTGATACTAACTTTAACAGCTTCAGCCAATTTCAGTGCAATTTGGAAGAAAGGACAGAGGCCTTAAATCCAATTAGACTCTGGCAGCAGAGGAGGAATGCCCATGTGAAAGTCAAGGCTACCACATAAATGTGTTCCAGATTAGATGAGAGGTGTGATTAACTTTTGCTTTTAGAAAGTCACAAGATCAAATTGTCACTGTTTTCACTTTTGGGGAATTTGTAATTACACTCCACGATTTCTTGTAGTTTTTCAACCTTTATATAAAAATTCCAGGGTGGTGGGTTTGTTTTTTTTTTTTTTTTTGTTTCAATGCATGTGAAACTGCTCACCTCTCTTGGCGTTGTTCCCAGGGAACAATCATCTTTTTAACACAGATGCTGATATTTGGATTCTGAGTGCATATACTAGGCTATTGTACAGGTATATGCTTCCTTAAAGGAACCAAGATAGTATATTTGTTTTGGTTAGTTAGCTTTTGTGCACAGACTCTTTCTAGGAAAACAAAGTTTATTGCAAGAACTGAATATATGCTTTTTTGGCTTAGTTCTGCTACTGCCCCAGAAGATACTCTTTAAACTGTCCATAGTCTTAGTTAAAATTACGCACCCTTTTGATATAGATATTGCAAGTGTGCTCTGTTTCATTTGTCAAAACAGTCCTTGGCACTAATTCAAATCAGTGCTAATGATTGTGATAGGTCATCTTTCAGTATGACCTAGAAATAAAGAGCAAACTAATATTAAAATAGTATAGACATAGTTCTTACATTTTGCCTCTTCAATTTCTGTTTTAGAAAAAATAAATTTTAAGATGGCAATAGCCATGTCCTCATTATGAACTAGAATTATAGTCCAGTTAAAAAAGCATGTGGCTTTTATAGATAACTTTTCTGTTTCTGGGCTTGGGTTAGGTAATAAAAGCAAGGTAACTTAGTTCCAGGCTGAAAGACATAGCATTTCAGACTTTTTTTTTTGGTGGTGTTATTGAACCTGTTCCAATATTTAGTTTTGAAATCTGTGATCTTCATTTCAGATCACTCGGGCATCTTTTATTTGTAGTTATTTTCAACAATTACTGAAAGTTTGTCTTGTTTTGTTTTCAAAAAACTTGTTATGGTTCCAGCAAGCATGCTTTTACATTAAACAAAACGGAAGGGTATGATGCCTGAAAATGTGAAGGGTTTAGTATATGCTACTTAAGCATTCTGTTTGTGCTGAACTAAACCAGCAGACTTTTCCAGAAAAAGAAAATGTTCAGCCTGAGTAGTGTATTTGAATTCCAGCATCAGAGTCAATTTAATTGGAATAAAGTAATCATTCAGTCTGCCTGAAGCACACTTTGTACCTGCTAGTGTCATGCACTTAGAATGAATTTGCATAATATCACGCACTTATTTACACCCAAAAGAAAAGCTTTGGAGGGGCAAGACATATCTGTAACATTGTTCTCTACTGATCAGAATTGCTTGGTTTAAGTATTGATCTTTGGTAACTATTTAAAAAAAAAAAAAAGGTAACAGGAGAAATCAGGATTCGTCAGTGCTTAAAACTAGGTCAGCGCTGAATGGCCAAGTGTGGTAGGCAGATTGCATCAGGATAGAATACACTCACAGAAGTTATACGGATACAGAATCAAAGCAACGTAACCAAAATGAAATTCCTGCCAATAATGTAGAAAAGTATTCACACTTCTTAAAACTGTGTTTGCATGCTTATGTGTGATAAATCTGTGTCTTATTGTAGTTTAATTAAAAACAAATTGTTTGAAACTTAATTTTTCATTTATATTCATATAAATGTGACTCAGTAATAGAATTGGCAAAGTATTTTTCAACTTATGCACTTACTTGAACTGAACTGAATATATGCTTTTTTGGCTTAGTTCTGCTACTGCCCCAGAAGATACTCTTTAAACTGTCCATAGCCCTAGTTAAAATTACGCACCCTTCTGATATAGAAAAAGTTTGAACAGAATATCCAGTGAAAGAGTTAAATGAAACTAAAGTTATACCTCTGAAAATGCATTAATTATTATTGTTCCCAAGTAGAAGTATTTGTGGTTTGTTTGGGTTTTTTTAATATTATTAAAAACTCACTCTCTGTTTGAAGTGTATGAGGCAATGCTAAAAATTTACTCAGCTGTCATCCTGGGTCACTAGTAAACAACTGACTCTGTAATGCATGAAACTTTTCATGTGAGTGTTTAATATAGGATTTAGTATAAATATGACCAATAAGTTTGTATAGAAAATCATCTCTACAGCTCTCAGCTACTGATTCTGGCATTTCTTGTAGGCCAAAATGTATTGTATGCATTTGAAAGTCTATTCAAATACTCTTGTTTAAAGAAAAAAGCAAGTCTTGCCTTACAAGAAACTATTACCAGTTTCTGGATGGATGACTAGTCCAAAACTCTAGACTCTTGCTACTTGAACTAAAGGAGTAGTTTGTGAGGGATATCTGTTGCTCTAAGAGACAGTGCTCTGCAGGGAAAATACATGGCTTAGATTTGAGCGTTTAACCCTTACTGCTGGTAGCAGAGGAACACTAGAAATCTTGACACCCGAGTTATTTTCCATGCCTTTGTAGGGATGAGACATGAAGCTTTACCTTTTTGCTTATTTTTCCTGAAATTCTAGTAATATTTTAGGGGCACAGTTACTGAATGTGTAGCACAGTGTTTTGTTTCTGGGAATACTCCCTTCTGAAATTTTGAACAAGGTAGTAGTTCATAAGAATGTTTTTACAGACATGGTTAAACATGGGAGAAGGACTGTTCTTAACCCTGTTCCCTCCATAGTGAAAATACTTCATGCATCTCTGTGATTGTTTCTTAGAGAAAAAAAAATTGAAAAGTACTTGAAAAGATAAACTGAAATTTGAAATACTTTACAGAGAAAATGTAGGTAGGACTTAAGATTTTTATATGCCATATGTTGACCATGACCTTCTGTAATGTAACTTTTTGTTTTATGCTTGTTCTTGACTGGCTGCAGTTGTATTATTGAAATCTTTCTCTGTTTCTCTCTTCCTCCTGGCAGAATTTTACCATTCTGTTAATGCCACTGTGCATTCAGGGACCAATGTCACAGCCCATATTCATTCAGCTTTAAGTGGTTAGAACTACTTTAAAAGTTTACCAGCACTACCCTTGAAATGTGCAGAGGAACACGTTGACTTGCGTGACTTGCTCATGAGATGGTTAGCATAGAGAGAAATGCTTCACTGTTTTATTCTCTTTATGGATATCATGGAAGCCATATATGTTAAAACTATAAACATTACCATGATACTAGTTCTTTTAAATTAGTGGCTTTGGAAAGCTACACTCTAAAGAGATGACATTATATTTGCTACAGACTCGGTCAGCCAAATCATCTCTGTTTGTGCTCAACCCCAAAAGGCCTGCAAAATGTTCAGACATGTACACTTGGTTTGTGCGAATAAACATTTATTCATTTGAGTCTCTGTTAATATGCAAAATAAGAATTAACTTGCTTTGAGTTTCTCTGGAGGCAAATATTTAAGATCTGTCAAACTCTTAGGCTCTTTTAGCACAGTTCAGCTTTCAAGATGTGTCAGAACTTACTTCTGTGGGTTTCGGTGACAGTCCAGCAATGAACAGAAAAAAATGAGGAGGCAATTAGAACTCATTCATCCAGAGCAGTGGTAAGGAATGGTAATCACCCTCAGGTCAGCTCTGCCTCTTGAGGTTTACAAAACAGCTGCTAAGAGTTCATGCTGTGCTTTCCTCCCGTCCTGCCTCCAGTGTCACGCTTATTCTTGTATGAGGTACTTACTGTCTTATGCTGAATCCGACTACAGGCTTTGAACTGTTGTAGCACAACTCCCATGTGCTTTGACTGCATAATCTAATATATTCTGTAGTTGTGTCACAAGACTATTTTGCCTTTTTTACAGATTGAAATCTGCATGTTATTGCAGAAGTCTGTTTCTGTGACTGTCCATTGCATTCTCCCTCAATTCTTTGTTCTTCCTTTGGCATCATCCATCATAGTCTAGTTTTTCATGATGGACAAAAACTCTGCCTGGCAATGGGAAATTTGTTAATTTGGCAGCTCTTTGTAATGCAAGTAATTTTGAGTCTCTCGGCATATGGTAGTCAGTTGTGGCTGTTCTATTTTGAATAATTTGTTCTTCAGCTAAGCTGAGGTTTATTGGTGTTACAGATACTCACTTATGTATACCTGATTTTGTATTTATTTTTGGGTTTAGGTGTTAGAGTGATAGTTGAATAGGAAAAATATTAGCCAGAAAAATCTAGAGAAAGCACAACTGAAAAATGGATTTGGTCATGTCTTAAACTGCTTGCAAAGAAATTACTTGTAAGTTACATTCCTGTAGGAGGTAATTCATTATGTTCAGCTAGTCAAGATTATTTTCTGTATTTTCTTGGTAGAGAAGCGTTATGCCCAAGAACAATTATGCATATGTTTTTGAAAGTAAGAGTCACTTCTACTCCATAATAAAAACTTGTCTATCCAATCTGGTTTCTGTGTAAGCATTCTACACTCCCTTCATTTTTGTGTTTCCCGTAATGAAGAAATCAAGAGGAGGAAGAACTTCCTGCTCTAGCAAGTGAAACACATGGAAATGTGGAAGGGCATGTTGTGAAGTGTAGAATAAGTAGCAGAGAAAAGTAGCTGAGAAAGTGGGAAAAGGATAGAAAATAAATCAGAAAATGTCTCTTAATTCAAGTCTCCATTTAAAAAAAAAAAAAAAAAGTAAGCTGAACTATGTAACTGACAGTTTCCATGGTTTTGATCATTCTTTGCAGACTTCTTGAAAAGACCACTGGAGAATTACGTGAAAAAATTAAAAGTACCTGTTCATGTGATTCGAATGGAACAGCGTTCTGGATTGATTAGAGCCAGATTAAAGGGGGCTGCTGCTTCTAAAGGCCAGGTCATCACCTTCTTAGATGCTCATTGTGAATGTACAGTAGGCTGGCTTGAACCTCTGCTGGCAAGGATCAAAGCTGACAGGTAATTATCCACCTACTGGTCCATGTTGGTTTTTTCATCATTAACAAATGTTCCAAGTGTTACAATATAGCCTTACAAGCAAATACCTATTTTCTGAAGGGCTGGATAAATTCTCATTGCTGTAAGGATAAAAGGCTAATTCAGTACAACTTTTAAAAAGTAAAACTTGGTTTAAAGTGAAGCTTTTATTGGGATGCATGGGATAATGTGTTAAATACCAGGAGACCTGAGCATGAATGGAGTTGTGAGCAGTGGAATTTGAGGTCTCCCATCTGCAGCCTGGCCCATTCCTTCATGAATTTGGGAAGGTATTCTTGAGGAAGAAATGGAGCCCTGGTCTCATGTAACACCAACACTGTGAGCAAGAACTGTCAGGTTTACTGTTTTCAGGTTCTCATTGTGATTTCTTTATTTCTTTACATATTTGTATTGTGGGATTCTGTGCTGTGACTTGGTCTTCTGGGATGTATTTTCTGAAGTTGGAATAGTTACTGGAATCATCTACGTTGCAGTAACATAACTTTATATTTCTATCTTAAGTCAATAATCATAACATTTATATCCATGATAGTGTGATGGAAATTGTTTTGAGAGCTGGGGAACCCCAACAAGTGAGAGAATGGTCTGCTTTATAAAACATTCATACATCTGTAGTTGCACGCTAGTCTGTTAGTAAACAGCGTATTAAATAGACTAGATATTAAATATGGTGTTACAGATCTGTTTTGTTCTTATAGTTATAGATAAAAATCACTTTTAAAATTTATTACAACGTATAGCATATATAATGAAAAAGCTACAAGTAATAAAGAGTCTTTGCTCAGAACTGTGCTAAGACATAATACTAACCTTTGAGTTATCATTAATATACTTTTTGTGAGACTACGATACATAATGTGTTACAATTTGTGCAAACAGCTCAACTAAGTACATACTTCAAATTTAGTTGCAACCCCTGAATCTTTTTACAGAGCTTTCCGAGCGAGAAAGCCTGCTTGAGGCTGGTTACTTAAGTGTCTTTAAGATGATTAGAATTAATTTCTGGGAGTATATGTCTTAATAATGTCAGGACAGTGGACAAGGAGGCCTCTTTCTGTCAACTTTGACGCGGTAGTTACACTTTGTTAACAATGACTGTCATTTCTTAGTCCTGAGGGCGTATAAGAATACTTCCCCTGAGCGTATGACCAAGTTTTAATTTCAAAACATGCAAGTTACTTTGACCACTTAACTAGAAATGAAAATCTTGTTTTCTATACGATCCCTGTGTAGCACTGAGAAAGCCTGTGGTCAGGGATGAATATTTATTACTGGTAATAATGCAAATACTATTTAGAAAAAGAGCTAGTATTGCCAAAATTGTATCAGAAAACACATTTTCCTTTAGATGAATTAACTCTAATTCATGGTAATAATCTATTAAGTCCTGTTGTTAAGAGATGGCATTATGAAAATTTAAACTGTATGTGTTAAAAACAAAATTGAAAAAAACACACACACACCTTTTTGACACTTCAATGTTTTGGTTCTTTCCTTTTTCTAGGAGAACAGTAGTGTGTCCCATCATTGACGTAATTAGCGATGACACCTTTGAATATATGGCAGGTTCTGACATGACCTACGGTGGATTCAACTGGAAGTTGAATTTTCGTTGGTACCCTGTTCCTCAGAGAGAGATGGATCGACGGAAAGGAGATCGAACCCTTCCTGTTAGGTAGTGAGAAATTATTAAATTGGTTAAAATGTTCACCTGAGGTTTACTCATATCCTTTCTAGGTTAATCTTGTAAGTAAGTATTTAATGAATTGTGTTGTAGCATCATTTTTGTCTGGTTGAAGGAACAGCATGAAAGTTTTCACATGGATTTGTTTCTGTTAACTTTTGGTAGCAATGAAGGAAGCAATCAGCTTGTCACTTTAGAAATATTTTTATGTCAATTACTGGAGAATTTCACTAGTTTTTTTTTAACTAGTTTTTATACTGATGTACGTTTTTTTAGTGAACCTTATTTTTATCTTTTTTTTAACCTTATCTTCTATTCCAACAAAGTAAATATTTTGAAAAGATGCATCGATTTTTGGCGTGTGTGTATATTTGTGTGTGTACGTACATATAAACTTAACATCTTCAAAGTGCATGGATGGGAGGTGAATTTATACCTGCATGTCATATATAGATACTATACTATGACAAAGGTAATGAGAAACACAGATAACTTGTGTGCAATGTGTACTTTTTCACAATTGGAAACTTGTATTTTCTGGCCTTACTATTCTGATAAGTGGGTAATATATACTTACCGTAAAGGTGAGGATATGGCCTTTACTCTTTTTTGTTAGCTTTTCATTTAAGAAATCCAGAGGTCTTCTCAGGATGTGGCTAATTGTATCCCTCCCACACCCCAAGTTTCCTTTCTAAGAGGGGGAAAAAAAGCCACAGAGATTTTTAGTTAGATTGTGACCTAGCTTATATTTTATGTGTCTTTCAGAAAAAGCCCAAAACGTTTCAGGAAAACAACTAGTGATAGAAAATCATGCATGCTAAAAGTGTAAATAGTTTGTATACTTGAACTATAAAGTTATATTGTCAGCCTAATATATAATTTACCTGTTGTGTATTTGTTGACTAAAAATATGGGAATTTGGGAGAGGTTGCTAAAGTTGAGGAAAAACTAGCAGGTTTTTTTCTACCATTAAGGAATGTGTAAAGAAAATCTGAATATAACCCTGACTGTACAATTATCTTGTATGAAGCACTAATAGTGAAAGCAAGCAGGCCACTTCATGGCCTCCCATAACTTTTTCAAGAAGAGTTGCCAGAAGTATAAATTTCCTGTAAGAAACTGGCTTCTTTTTTATGAGTTACCAGCATTGGAGGCAGAAGTCTTTCTCAGGAATGGCAGCAGCTTTCTAAGGGCTGTTTCTCTATCCAGACTCCCATTTGAAGTGAGAAAATAAGGAGACTAACTGGTTCCATCTCTGGAAAATTTTGAGCTTGCAAGTACATCAATGGTAACTGAATTTGGATGGAAGCCTACTGAGAAGGAACATGTTAGGAACTTGGGAAATAAAAAGCCATTTTGTCAGTGTAAGTGTGAAATGTATTTAATACATGTTTTCATAGTGACTGATGCTTGTTTTTTGTCTCCCCCCTACCCTTGCCTCCAGGACACCTACAATGGCAGGAGGTCTTTTTTCAATAGACAGAGATTACTTTCAGGAAATTGGAACCTACGATGCTGGAATGGATATTTGGGGTGGAGAAAACTTAGAAATTTCTTTCAGGGTAGGTAAAACTCTACTCTTTTCAGTGTGCTGTTAGCCAGGATAGTGCGTCATTAGTTTTGTAAAATACAGATCTGCTGCCTGCATCAGTGTCCTCTCCAGTTGTAGTTAGCACTTTGGAGGAACTTGACGGGAAGCAATGGAGATACGCAAGGACTGTATCTGTCAGTGAAAAGTGCATGCTGAATAGTTGGCAGAGCCATGTAATTAAAAGATTGGGGTGGTCATTCTGAAGAATGGATGCACGTGTGTTAAAAGGAGTTTAGTTAGAAAAGCTAATTGGGGAGCATAAGTTAAGGGTGATGTCATCAGTGTATGGTTTAATGTGTCAGTGAAATGTGAGCACCTCTGTTACAAACTCTCTCTTCTTGCTGTTTTTCTAACTTAATGATTGCATGTGTTCATTTTGATGTGCACCTAATCAGCACTGTTCTCACTTTCATTCTTACCAAATAGTACTATTTCCTTTTGTTCTACTTATCAGCTCAGGATATATAGGTTGATACTTCTGAAGTAGTTCAGCTTTCTGAATCTGCCATTTTTAGAGGTCCAAAAATAAAATTGAAAATATTTTCAGAAACCTTACTTGGGAAACGAATGGGGTTTTTTACATGGAGATTCTATTTCATAATGGACTTTTTTTGACAGATCACTACCTGTTACTTCCCTGTGATTCATGTGAGCCTTTTCCTTCCTTTGCTGTCAGCTTGCCCAGGTCTCTAAAGTAGTTGCTGATGCATTATTGCTGTGAGGCCTGACGTACTCTTTCTTACACTACCTTCCTCATGCTTTACTGAGCATCTTTATCTGTTGAGCAAGAAACAGGCATACATTTCTCTTCCATGCAGTATGTATTTGTTCTAGACCTCAACTAAAGTTGTTTCTCCAACTTGAACAGAAGCAAGTGATTAACAGTTTTAAACTTTTTTTTAACTACTTGAAGCTATGCAATAATTGTTCTATCACTTTCAGATTTGGCAGTGTGGTGGCACTTTGGAAATTGTAACTTGTTCACATGTTGGGCATGTGTTCAGAAAAGCAACACCATATACTTTTCCAGGAGGTACAGGGCAGATAATCAACAAAAATAACAGGCGGCTTGCAGAAGTCTGGATGGATGAATTCAAAAACTTTTTTTACATCATTTCCCCAGGTGAGCAGGTCTTTGGTTATGAGAAATACCTGTTAAGAATTAAAATGTTACTACTACTAGGAAAGAACATGTGTATTTAAATAAAAATGATATGCTTTGAAGTTTGCAAGACAAAGCTCACGTAAGATATACAAAAAAGAAGGTCTTAATTGAAAAATAACTTTGTTAGCCAGAGATGTGTTCTGAAGTCTTTTTTTCTTTTTTCTTTTTAAACATGCATGTGATTTATGAATGAGCTTCCTGTGCAAAAACTCAGTGGAACGTCAAAGAGCTCAACCATAGTGCTGAAAACTAGCCATCCAAATACATCTTGTAATGTGCTGGAGTTTGGCCTCTGGCTTCTGTGTTGTAGGCATTCCAGGTTGAATAGATCAGAAGTGATTTAAGTGAAACCCTGTAGCAGGAGTGGCAAAAGTTAACATCTGCCTTGGTAGAGTTTGCATGTCACTATCCAGAGTATAGGGGCAAGTTGCCAATGTACTTGACTGATGATATTTATTATGTTTCTTAAAATGGATATTAACAAAACAAGAGGATGTAAAAATATGAGAGCAAATTTCCTATGAACTCAAACTTTCTGGAAAAAAAAAATCAGGAAAAGAAAGGAAGCCTGGGAAATACTGAATTATTGCTTTCCACTACAGGATATTTTTGTTGTTGTTTTAAAAAAAAAAAAAAAGAGACAAACTTTGGGTGGCTATAGAGATCCTCTTCAAATACTTGAGACATTAGAGACATTCAACTTTAAATACTTAAGTGGTAGTTCTGTATGCCATGTCTGCTTTTCCAAAGACATATCTTTAAAAAAAGTATTTCCTTATGACTTGCTTGTTAAACCTTCATTAGTATTGAAATTTAAAAGCTGTAATACAAGCTGTAGTATGAGTCTGAACGGTGTCAAATTTTAGATTACAGGTTTTAAGAATACTTGTGAGAACAAGTGACTGTGTGGATTTATGGTGGGTTTTTGTCTCAAGAGAATGCATTACTTAAGACTGTAGGGTTCTTTAAATTAAAATAAATAACTCTTGCTACTACTCAAAGCTTTTTAGGTGAAATCAGAAGCTAACAGCTTATGGTTACTGCCCTGTGTTGTTATTAATGAAGCATTATGAATTCAAACATGACATGTATAGATATATCATTCAGAAAAGTTGTATATAAATAGGTGCAGTCTTTTTTTGGTTAAGATTGCTTTTATGCGTCCATGTCAAGCTAGATTTTAAAATGTACTAAGCAGCTGGAACACCTAACTGTAAAAATAACCTAATTCTTAAAAACAAGTGTAAATTACTGAACATCATGATAAGGCTCTGTTACTTCATTTATAATCTCTATAGTCCTTCCATTTTGTGTGGTAACTGTAAGCTACAAAAGGAGTTATATTGCTTGAATTTTGTAGGATTGTTGCTTTGATAGGACTTTCATAGCTTTGCAGTATTGTGGAATATGCATGCATTCTCCTGTTGGAGAAAAGGAATGAAAGAATTTAATTTAAAATAGAATACGGTAAAAATTTTAAAATAGTGAAAGTAACTTAAGCAATTATCTATAACTGCACTGTGTATTTTCTTTCCTTTCAAAAGATGCATGTCTGCATAGTTTGTATGCTAATAGCCTGAATGATTGGTGGATAGGGATGTGTTCTTGCCGAGCTCCTCTTAGAGCATCTGCACCTGCCGACTGGCACACGATCTCGTTTGTGTACCCATATCCGTATTGACACTGCACTAAGGTTTGATACTAGAATTTGCAAGTGTTTCAAGAATATGTTCATATAGTACCTGAATAAGTTAGGTTGTTCTGAAATTGTTTTGTTGCCTGGGGCTGTGGAGAGAGTGGTTAGTACTGTGGTTCATTCTTAGCTATGATATAGTATCTATTGAACATATAAATGTACTCAGTGCCACTCATGCCTCTCACCCCATGAATCCATGTAAGTTATGACAGCCAGTAGGCATTAACTAGAAAGGATTACTAGTCTGGGAAGTTCACAAACACCTTACTGTTGTTGTTCTGGTATCTCCAATCTTAGATATCTGAGTGTTGCAGACCCTGATTCTACCCATTGACAGCAAACAACATCAGTGTAAATTTCTGTAAGTCTTTCTGGCCAGTAGTTGTCTTAGGAACCCAGTGAATCTCTGCTACTTTGGCTCATTTAGCCATACTCTGCTTTTCCAGGTATCCTTCTAATATAAAAATTTAAATGTTTACTTCTTGCAGAATGATGGTGTAGTGACCCTCTGGCAGAGCACAGTATGCAGCCTATGAAATTCTTTGCTAGTACAATGTGTGCTTTAAATATTACTGTGACAGTGTCACGAGTTCTTGCAAGGAGCAAGGTGAGGATTTTTAAGCTGATGCTGGTTTGCAAGCCTGGGTGCAGATGAGGAAGGAAAACAGGCAATCCTCTGTGCACCCAGTTTTTTTCTTGTTAGTTGACATGGATGAGAAAATTGGATTTTGATTGAAGTAGGTAATATACTGACAGGCATCATTGAGCCTAGCTAACAAGAAATTTGTTTCCTCCTTTATATCCTTTCTCTTCTGCTCCCCTAAGATAGTGAATTACAGAGGGACTGGTGCAGGAAAGCAAACCTAAGATTCTCAGGTAGCTTTCCTACTTCACGTAATCTGTGTTGTCTGGTTAAAAAAAAAAAAAAAAAAGCATACTGAGCATACTGCTTGAATGATAGGAACTCGAGAGACTTCTTACTATTGATGTAATGTAGTTAAATGGAAAGCTGCCCTTTTGAAAAGTAAGCCTGTAATCCTTTTTTCTTTAATAAGTACAGCCTAGTAGAAATTGTTACTTGTCTGTTTTAAGCTTTCATGCATTTTAGAAGCCATCTCTCTGCTTGGAAGTGGTTAGGTACAGATGGAGGTTGGGCAGGAAAGTGTTGCAGCAGCTGCTGCTCAGCCAAAATCAAGCCTATCTCATGGCATGCAACAGCTATGCTCTGTGGCAGTAATGGCGCTAGCTGTAGTCTTTCCTGTCGTGGTTTAGCCCCAGCCAGCAACTCAGCACCACGCAGCCGCTCGCTCACTCCCCCTGTCCTGGTGGGATGGGGGAGAGAATCGGAGGAGTAAGAGTGAGAAACACTCCTGGGTTGAGATAAGAACAGTTTAATAATTGAAAGAAAGTAAAATAGTAATGATAATAGTAACAGTATAATAATGATAATAACAATAATAATATACGAAGCAAGTGATGCACAATGCAATTGCTCACCACCTGCCGACCGATACCCAGACAGTTCCCGAGCAGCGATCGCTGCTCCCCGGCCAACCCCCCCCAGTTTCTATACTGAGCATGACGTCATATGGTATGGACTAGCCCTTGGGTCAGTTTGGATCAACTCTTCTGGCTGTGCCCCCTCCCAGTTTCTTGTGCACCTGGCAGAGCATGGGAAGCTGCAAAGTCCTTGACTAGCATGAGCAGTACTCAGCAACAACTAAACCATCCATGTGTTATCAACATTCTTCTCCTACTAAATCCAAACCACAGCACTATGCCTGCTACTAGGAAGAAAATTAACTCTATCCCAGCCAAAACCAGGACATTTCCTCACTAGCCAACAGTTTTCCTTGGAGTCATGTGTTACAGCAGGGCACTGTTTCCCAGGCCATTTCCTCTTAAGCTTTCAGAAAACAGATCCAGCACGTGCAGGTGAATAGTGATTCCTGGCTCTGGTCATTCTGTTCTGCAGGCTCTGCTACTTCTTTATTTCTAGTGCTGGCCTTTCATCACTTTCTCCAGTCTAAAATACTGGGACTGGATTGTCCAAGGTGAGGCTTCATGAGATGTCAGTCTAACAGCTTGCTGTGAGGAGGGTGCCTTGCTTTTCATGGCAGGTGATAGGGCTTCACCTCCCCTCACTTGTTGGTTGCTCATACATGTCAACTGATTTGACTTGCTGAACTGGTCAGGATTATTTACCCTGCAGGCTGGCTCTCTACTGGTTAAGTTAGCACTTGTGTCAGCACAGGAGGGGCAGAGGGAGGGAAAGCTGCCTCTTTCTGCAACGGCAGCTGCAAAGCATTAGGCTGGCTTACCACAGCTACCTCCCCCTAACCTTCTCCTAACTACTAATTAATGGTAGTCTGGCAGTATGTAGAATTTGTTGGTATCCTTAATCTAAAGGTGAAGCATGGATACTTTCAGACTGTGCGGTTTCCCCATGCAGCATGTGAGTCTGGGTTCCAGCTCCTACATGCACCCCGCTGCTCCTTGTCCAACGTGCATCCTTGTCCTTCAGCAGCCTCTCGCATCCCAGCTGAAGGCATCCTGAAAAGCAGCTCCAATGAGCTTGGGTAGAGCCTCGTCTAGCTTGTATGGTGGAAATTAATTTTATTGTTGACCAAAAGTTTGCCCCAGAAGGTGTCTTCCATTGCACTGGGGCTAAGTGGACAGGAGACAGCATTGCAGAATTACCTGAGCAAGAGCCATCTAGACAGAGACATAGACATGTTATCCTGAAAACTGGATCAGCAGGCCTAGTTTCTAATCGCTGCACGCGCTTGTCTCTAGCCAAGCGTGTTAAGTCAAGGTTCAGTATGTACAGACTGGAAATGGATAACGTTTTTATTTATGGTTGATAGGAAGGACAGAGAAGGGACTGAGTCCACATCTTGCAATGTAGCTAAGCCTGTGTTCAAAATATGTACTGAGTGATTCCATGTGTTCTTATTTTCAGCTAGTATTCCCTATTAGCATTAATTGGGAATGCAAATAATGTAGCTGTTCACATTGGTTTTAAGTGATTATTGCTTACCAAGTTTCATAATACTAAATAAAAACAAGTTCTATGATTTTTAAGAGAAGACTAGTTTTAGATTAGACAGTTTTCATACTGTGCTTTTGAAAATGATTGAGCAATTGGTAATCATGATGAAAACATCATGCTTTTTTTTTTCAAAGCAGTTTAGCATAAATATATTGCCACACGTTGAACTTCGCAAGCAAATATTCAGCTCTTGAAATTTTGAGGGTGGCAGAGCTGTTGTAACACGGCTGATGGAAAGCTTAAATATAAGGTGGCAAAGAAAATTAAACTGAAGCAGTAGTATTCTACTGATAGGCATCATTACATGTATGTTTTTGTAAAGGTATAAGGAAAGACCATTACTAAACAATTACTAGAGACCATTACTAATCAGAGTAGTCTGATACTGCATAACAAACTTCTTCAAGAATAATGACAGCACAAGCAAGTGCTGAGATGAATCTTACATTTTTACAAAATTGGTGATGGTGCGATCGGATGATTTGATGTGGGGTTTTTTTGCCTTATCAATATTTGGTTTTGAGTACATCTTTAAGCACATGTGTGGAAAAAAAGCATGCAATTGTCCCACAGCAAACAGCAAGCTGTGTGACATAGAATCATCAGGGAGGTCCAGCCTTTTAGTATAATTAGGGTTTGGGCCAGGGGGGTTGGGGGAAAAATAAATATATATATATTGCATGGTCAAGTAAAGGCAACAGTAGCAAGTACTGTTAAATACTACTTCTGATTAGTTTGGGTGTTTTTGATGAACAAAACCCAAATATTGTCTTCCTCATGATGCACATACCTGTGAAGTCTGGCATAATTGTCTCCTGGGAGGAAGATTTGCTTTAATTCTTGCTTTGTGGCTTGGTTTGGGTTGGTGTGTTGGTTTTTTTGTTTGTTTGTTTTCCCAAAAAGAACTGTTACCCATACTGTATAGTGCAAATGTGTAGGAACACTCAAGCTAATTTTAAGTAGTATAGATAAGGTACCAGAAACCTAGTAAACAGAGTAACTCGGCCTTGTTAGAGGACACCCCTAAGGCAACTATACCGGTTCTGCTATTCAGTGCATCTGCTAACCTGATACTAACTGTAGTCTGTGTGCTACTACATGGTTTGGTGCAGACCTAACTTGAGAGGATTTTTTTTAAAAAAACTTTCAGACTAAAAATGGTTAAATGGAATATAATACACACCTTTTATTTCATTGTAACGGAGGGAAAATCAGCTGGCACTTTTCTTTCAACATGGTGACATTTAAAACTACTTTAAGAAACAGCACACTTGTATGCTTTTAAGTATCACTTTGCATTTAATTCTTTATGGTTGTGACTTTAATTCTTATTGCCATTCAGTGATGTGACAAAGCCTTAACAGTGTTGTTTTCTGAAGGTCAATGTAGCAAACTGTGATGAATGAGTTTTGAGTATCATAAGGTTGTTACGAGGATGGCATGATAACTGTTTCATCCATCAGCTGCTTTTTCATCACTGAAGAATGAAGAACTCCATACTTAGCTGTAGTTGGTACAGTCTTTCTCTTCTTACTTCATTGTCTTTTGAGAGTGCTTCTTTTGGTGTAGAGCAAATATTTGCTTTGGTGAAGATAGGGCAGTGTTTTGGGTGTTTTTTGTTTGTATTGTGTTTTTTAGTTTTGGGATTTCTTTTGTGACTGGAAAGCCCAGACTGAAGTTTTCTGGGATCCTGTTCAAAGACATTTTTAAATTTCATTCACACTATTCAAAATGTCATTAAAAAAACAAGCTTTCCTTTGCTTTCGTTCACTTACCAGTATAGTTTGCCAGCATCTTTGGTAAAAAGTCTTTAGTTGTTAGGATTTTTTGGGGGTGCTTTTTGGTGTGTGTTGGTTTGTTTTTTTTTTTAAATAGCCTAAAAGCCTGTCTGGCATTTTTTCTTTCTGGAATATTGAAATTACTAATGTTTTTATTGATATTTACAAACATTTAGCTGAAATTACGCAGTTATCTGTCTTAATTGAGTAGAAATACACCATCTGCTGGCAGGTCGATTTAGTAACACAGTATGCCAACTTAGAAATGTCTCAAACTGTTTCAAAAGGTCAACAATTTTAGAGGTAATTCAGTCCTCTAAGTGGAGGGATTTCTGAAAAATGTATGCAGCTGGAGGTCTATAGTGTGGTGGCCAGTTGAGCCATATTTGTGGTCTGTGAGGGGAATTTAAATTGCTAGGACATGTTTTTGTTCTTTTTTGGTTTGGGTTTTTGTTTGGTTTGGGGTTTTTTTTTGTAGTGTGTTACTTTTGGCCTGTGTGGTATGGAGTGTAGTGTGGAAAATACAAAAAGAAAGTGATGCCTGAAAACTGGAAGTTATCCTACCCTTAGTTAATGAATATTATTGGAATATTAATGAAAATAGTGCTTAATTCTGGTGAGGCAAAAATATCTACTGATCATGCATACCTTCCTCAACCCATCTGCAGATGGGACTTGCACAAATTAATTTTCAGAAGGTATTAAAACAACCATAAAGGAGTGGGAAGATACAGGAAGCATGAGCACTTTGATAACTGAGTAGCAAAGGAGAAAAAAGGCAAGCAAAATACCACAAAAAAAATGATAACAGTTCTAATGGTGACTGTACTTCCTGCAAATGCTGCAGTTATATTGAACAAATACTGAATTATTAAAGGATTAGTTCCCTGTATGAAGGCTGCTTTCTGACTGTTTCTTTGTGCTGTTAGATAGATGATGAAGGGTCCAGCAGGTGGTACCTGACTTACAGAATTAAATTCAAATGGAATTCTCCTTGCTCCACAGAAGGAGACTGCTATGCTATGCTGCATAGATATGTACTCCGGTTACCATTGGGGTTAGAATGGCGTTAGTGACTATAACTGTTTCAGCCTTTCTCTTCTGATAACTTAGTAATCAGCTGCAATCAAATTGTTCCACAAACCACAGGTAAGAAATTGTCATGTGTAGCACAGATGTAGTGACTCCATCTTTTGTATAATTATCTGGAAAAAGAAGTCACAGACTGACATGTCCTCTCTGAGAATATAAACAGCATAATGCTTTATTTTAAAAAAAATCATTTCGTTGTGTAGAGATGACTTTCTAAAGAGAAAGTCTTTCATGCAAGCAGTGTATTATACTGATGATTTTTGTATTAAGTGGAATTATATAACATTTATTAGCAGCCATTAAATAAAACTTCCTTTGTTTCTACAGGAGTTACTAAAGTTGATTATGGGGACATATCATCACGACTTGGACTAAGACGCAAGCTCCAGTGCAAGCCTTTCTCCTGGTACCTGGAGAATGTTTATCCCGATTCCCAAATTCCACGCCATTACTTTTCTCTGGGAGAGGTAAGATTTTATCCTACATATTTATCTACCCTATGTAAAGTATGCTGCACAGTAAGTTGTTTGTATTCTGAACTGACTAGTGCAAACAAGTTATCTCCAGCAAAGTTCAAGTAGCTTGCACCTGTGTTCCTGTCATCTGGCTTCTCAGTGGGGCAGAAAACTGAACCTTCGTATACAGTACTGTAATTTGAATGTTTTCCCTTTTTTACTACTGTACTAAATGTCACATAGAAGGGCTTTAGAAATACTCCTTCAGAAATGTATAGTTATGGATAACTTTCTGTATAACATTCTCTTTGTAGATTATGAGTAGAGTTTTGCTTAAAAAAATAGACCAGGTCAAACAAGGACTTTGCCTAAAAACTGCTCTGAACTTTACCCCCAGAACCCTTGTCAGTCACCAGCAAATTTCAGTGATCCCTAAGCTTTGTTGGGCATTTCTCTGTTTTTTTTTTTCTTTAGAGTTTCTTAAGTGACTGCAGAGGTAGTGCAGATGATGCTGTCCTAAATAAGTAGGCACCTACTCTCCCCTACAAGTCATGTTGAGCCAAACATTGACCCTGTTGTAGGGTGATTTTCTACTGTTTGTTTTTAAAACAAATGCTTTCAACAAAATGGAGCAGGCATTCGTGCTGCTGCATGACTATCAAGAGACTTGATATTCATGCCTGCTTACTATATAGTAATACAGGGATTAAGGCTGTAACTCAAGAAGTGAGGAAATTTAACCCAGTCACCCGTGATTTCAAAGGGAATTAAACCCACCACACCTAGGAGAGTGCTTTAAAACTAATGCAGGTTTTGGGCTGGAGACTCAATTGTGTCCATTCTGTTGTAGTTGAGTCTTTGAGCAAAAAGAGTCCGCAAGATGGAAAGGTCCTCAAAAGAAAGCAAAGAAATAAACACAGTTCTGTAACCTGGTAGCTTGAACGTTTGCTTGGGAGTTTGAGTCTCAGACAACGGTATCTCATTGTAGTACATTTTCTATATTTTACATTTCATTCACATAACCTCTGGTGCATAGCAGAGAGAACTGGTGCCAGTGTGGTTTGATATGGACCCAGTTCTCTTCTAAAAATAATGACGTTTGGTGATGTGTCCTTTTTCATTCCCAGATAAGAAATGTGGAGACAAATCAATGTCTGGATAACATGGCAAGAAAAGAAAACGAGAAAGTTGGAATCTTTAACTGCCATGGAATGGGTGGCAATCAGGTGACTTTTTTTAAAAAAAATTGTCTTAATATATTGAGTTATTTGGAACACTGCTTCTCATTGGGACGATTCTTCAATTCTTTCAGCAGTTATCTTTAAAACACACTTAAGTTGTAAAATTTAGGGAACCTTTATTGAAGAATATGCCTGTAAGAGGAAATGCATGAGAAGATTTGTTGATGGCTTGTCACTTGTAGGTTTTTGAGGCGTGATGGCAATAGGTTTTAGATCAACTTTCAAGTCAAAAATGAAATGAGGGGAGGAGGAAACAGCTATAAGCTAGACTAAACCTCCTGCAGGTTCTCTGGAACTTTCTGATTAGATCTCCTGATTGGCATCATTACTTTAAAAAAAAAAAAAGCCTGTACCTGAAATGCTGGTTTTAATGTACTTTTTTCTGGGTTTCAGTTCTGACATTTATTTTACATCTGTTTTTTTGTTCTACTTTGTTAATAATTCTTGATGAATTATTTTCCAATATACAGAGATTACCTGTGTTGGGGATCCTCCTGTTTCTACACAGGAAGCAGTCTGCAATTCAAAAAAATGTCCAATTTTGACTGAAGAGCTTGTTCATATAGCATTTATATTTATTCCCTTAAAAAACCCAAAATCTTTCTATAAATGCTGGAAGGGAAAAGAAAAAAAAAAAATATTTAGTGGGTAATTTAATGAAGTAACGCACAAATGTTCCTCCTTCCCTCCGCCCCAGGAATCTTTTAGTTTAACTTTTTTTTTCAGTTTGTCTCATTCTTTTTTCTGTCTAGGTTTTCTCATATACTGCCAACAAAGAAATTCGAACAGATGATTTGTGTTTAGATGTATCCAAACTTAATGGCCCAGTAACGATGCTCAAGTGCCACCATTTGAAAGGAAATCAGCTTTGGGAATATGATCCAGTGGTAAGTCTTCTTACAACTTGTGACATTAAAATGAGACAGCTTGGGTTTTTACATGAGCCTACAGAGCAACATATTCCAGTGTGGGACCACTATTTGACAGTCAAAACAGGAAACAGTCAGGATTATGTTCCCTTTGTTACTAATTCAAGGTGTAGTTACTCAATAGACATCTGTATTGATTTCATTACCTGGTGAGTTTTGGGGGAGAGAATTTTTTTTTTTTATTCTTCTTTTAGAAGAATATTTTCAATGTGCTTTTTGGATCCTCTGGAGAAAGATAGTCTGCTAGTGTAGTGCTGTGTTACAATGAGATCAATAGTGGGAAAGTATTCCAGGTATCTGCTGGACTGGTAAAAGATAATGCTAACCATCTTGTGACAAATTCAGCACCTGGTGTCTTATCTTGTACAAGTTTAAAAGGAAATACTTTTCTAATTAAAAAATCAGCATCCCAAAATTACGAGGAAGATTTTACATTTCTAATACTGGTATGTTTAAGGTAGAGATGCTTAAAACAGCTTTATTCTGATCATTCTCTTTCTCATACATAATGTTCAAATTTATTTTAAGTTCATGAGTTGAACTGCCAGATCTAGAAACCATTGACCGTTGATCCATTCATCATTAATTTGATTTGCAAGTTCTAGAAACAATTTTCTGATTGAGTAGTGCAGTGAAGAACTCTGAGTTATGGCATGGCTAGTTAGAAAAAATAGTTCTGAAGCTTGTTAATTTAAAATCATTTATTGCAGAAGACAGTTGTGAGACAATTTGTGGAAGAAGAATCTCGCCAGTATAATCATGATGACGATTTCATAAAGAGAACATGCAGATATTTAGCTACTAAAAAGTCATTTCACTGATTAAAAAAAAAAAAAGAGGAGTTATTTCTAACTAAATACACTTGCTATAGATTTTTAGTAGCTGAGGTGTTAAGGAAACCTACAGCCTTTAAGACTAAAAGGAAATACTTATGAATAATGATTTTTTTTTTTTTTTTTTTTGATTGGGATGGCAGTTAATGTGGAAGACTGGATCTCTACTAGGATTTCTGCACATTGCTAGCAACTGCTGATAGGAGACTGAAGAAAGCTGTTGAAGGCTTTCAGGATTAAATGTTAATTGAAATTATTAAATTTGAGTCTTGGGAACCATTCATTCTTGTATCTTATGTAGTTTACCTGACTTAAGTAAATAAGATGAGTAATATTACTACATGCAGTGATTCACCAAACAGCAAGTGCTTTTTATTTTGTTTCTACCTTATCAATGGTAAGAACATTGCATCTTTAGACACCTAACTGCAATAGTTTGCCTTGCAATGATTGCCACAGACTGTAAAATGGACTTCACCTGTGTCAATCCTCAGCCATAAATTTGGTTGTATGTGTTTTCTCTTTATTCTGTCAATGGAAAATCTAGGTATAATCTTCAGAACTTTACTGAAAGCTGGCTAATAAAGCACAAAAATAAGTTAGAGAATACTTACCAAGAACTCCTGCCCCCATAGTTCGGTGACTTTTCTGTAGTTTTTTTCCTTCTGCCTCTGGGAGGCATGTGAGAAGCCCCTTTCCCTTAATGTCTACCAGGAAGAAAAAGAAAGGAGGGAGGGGCAGGAAGCTTTGTGTTAGTTATTTGTCTACTCAAGTCTGCTCCAACTCCCTTCTTCATTCTTCAGCTGCTGTATGAGTGCAGTAGGTTTTTAGTTGTTTTTTTTTTTACCCTTTGCTACTTGTGCACATAAGGCCTGCCTGTTCCGCCACTTTTCAGTCAGTCCAGTGTCCTAGTTGTGTTGCTGACTGAGAGAAGAAATACTGATAGTGATGCCAGTCAGCACCATAGACAAGTTGATGCACACATGGTTATCTATAGTACAGTGGCAGGAAATGCAACTTCTGAGATCTCTTCTCCATGAGGATAGTGCTGAGGTAGATGGAGTGGTATATGGAAAATTGCATAAATAAGATTAGTAGGTATTGGAAAAGATACATACGTATGTCAATTTGTACACTATTTCTTTAAAGAACATAGTTTTTAAAAAGAACATAGTACTAAAGGAATACTGTATAAGGTCAAATTTGTGTCCCCAGCTGAGAAAAAAGTGCACTTTTGAATACATATTCAATGTGTTCATTCTGATCTGATCAAAACTACTATTATAACTAATAATTGAAGTTTATATCTTACAAACTTGAATTTCTAACTCTTCAGAGATCCTTAGCTGTATAGTCATATTTAAAGAATGGTGGATATTGCTTGATAAAGAATGTCATTTAAAAATTCAGACTGTTCTGTGAAGCAATGTTTTTAGTATCTACAACATCAAATAGCATATTTCAGTGTTCTTTAGGATTGGGATCTGGAGCCAGCAACCAAGGGGTCTTGTGTAGTTCTGACTTACCTATGGAAGAATTTCAATGGCCACTAGAAACTTTTTGGTTAGCTTATGCCTGGTGATTTTTGTAAAACTAATTTCTTTTTATTTTGTCTTCAAGAAATTAACCCTGTTGCATGTGAACAGTAACCAGTGCCTGGACAAAGCCACCGAAGAGGACAGCCAGGTACCCAGCATCAGAGACTGCAACGGCAGGCGCCCCCCCCCGCGGGGGGGTCTCGCGCCAGCAGCCGCCAGCCGCTCCCAGCAGTGGCTGCTTCGCAACGTCACCCTTCCAGAAATATTCTGAGAGGTTCTAAAGAAAAACAAGGATTGACTGGGCTACCTCGGCTGATAATTTGGCTACACTGTCAAGTAGCAACAGAAGAAACTTCTGCTCGGCAGAATCCACAGTTCGTCAGCTGTTAGAACTCCTGCAGCTTCTCAGTAGCTGTGAACCAGCCTTCCTGTGTAAGGATGTGAAACTACCACACATACTAGTGAAACTGCGCCCACTGATGTTTACAAGATCGAAAGAGTTTCTTCCAGCAAATAATTTCAAAAATGTTTGGACAGTGGAAACATAATCAATGAAATAGTCTCTCTGAAGAGCTGCATATCGTTGTAGTTTGCTTGCACATCAGTAACCTCTGCTGAAAGTGCTGTTGTAATGAAGAAAGTTCTAAGAATTTTTTTTTTTCCTGGTTAGCAGTGGTAACCAGACTACTAAATATAGATCCACAAATAAATGTGAGAGAGAGCTGGAAACCAGATTCAATAACATGAAATAAGAATTCTGTGGTTTAAAAACAAAAAGTAAACAGGGTTTAATGGAAAGTAAATCAGAACTATGAAAAGTACAATTTGTTATAGTGAAGTATCAAATTTGTATGTAGATTTTATACCTCAGTGGGGGAAAATAACCAAGTCAAAAGGCAATTGTTTCTCTTTTTCAATTGTGTGATAGTCCATAAATACTATTTTTTTTTTTATGGTGGGTCTAAAATTATTTTGGGCGCAAACAAAATGAGCATAAGAATAAACTTAGCTCTTGAATGTCAGATCAACTTTTTTCATCTTTTTAATTTTAATTTCTTGGCTGTTGGAATTGTATCTCTTTATTACTGTCTGAAAACTGGAGGTTAACATGCTGTCTAACTTTTTTTTTGTCCAGACCTGCCATTTCAGTTTATACTTGGGTCAGTCAGCTTATGGACTTTCATGGCCAAACAAAAGATTTAAACACACTTTGAAATTATTAAGTTAACTTGACGGAATATGCTTAGCGCCCAAGACTCATACTACTGTACTGTGGTTTTGTTTTCATAGCAATAAATCTTTTGTTCCTTGTTTGATTTCAGTCATCAGAAAGCCAGAAGAAAAGATACATGATTTTGGGTAGCAGGAGATCAGCAAAACTGAGGGTTTTCTGGAATCCTTTTTCACTTCATATTCAGATGTGCTTCATTGTCAAGTGCATATTTAGATTAGACTCTGAATTGTAATGTTGATCTGCTGCTTTTTTCTAATAAAACCTAAAGAAAAATAGCTAAATTGGCATGGTTTTTAAAGTTAACATAGCCAAAAGCAATATGACTATGTCATTACATTGGTCTGCATTTTTTAACTGAATTGCTTTGTTTTCTTAACAAAAGTCTGTGTGGGCTGATCTTGAAAATGAGCCACTGAACACTCAGAGTATACATTGAATTTTCTTTTGGAAAGAAAAATGAGATTTGCTTAATAGAGAGGATATTTTTATGATAAATGTCGTTGTTTGGCCAACTGTCCTGTAAAGCAAATTAAACCTAGACTCATGCAAAAGTTGTGTGGAATTGTATTTGGCTGTCACAGCCATTTTAGATTTGCTATTCCAAGTTGCTTTAGTCTGTGTTATCTCTGTTATTTCTGCAGCAGTACACGAGAGTTTTCATACACAAAGCAGGGGAAATGATAACAAATTGCAGTATTATGTTGCTACTTTAAAAACACATAGGATGAGTTGATGTGGGATTAATATCAGATAAAGCATCTAAATATATAACTGTCTTTCATTGACCCCTCTTTTTGGATAGCCCTGCAAATCTTATGAGGTCGAAGTGGATTTACGAAAGTAATGGTATGGTACATCTATCAGAAAGATACCGAAGTGTGCCCAGATGACTTTAAAAAAACAAAACAACAAAAAACCACAACCCCACCCCATCCCTGGGGAGAAAAAAAAAAAACCCAAAAAACCCCACCCCAAACAAACCAACACTGTCTTAGTGGTTATATGAGAAGACTTACTCCTTTGGTACAGCCAGTGAAGAAGATGGGATGGGTGACAGTGTCATCATTAGTAATTGATACATTTGCTTGCTCCTTAGATCCTCTGTGGTCCCTTCTGCTTTTATACCATTTCTGAAGTACAATTTGTGGTTGTCTGATGCTGCATATGAGCCCACCGAAATACTGTTTGCAGTCTTCTGCTGTGTTACAAGTGCATGATGGTTTGGATCATGGTTTGGATTTTATTTTAGTTTATTTTAGCAAACTAGCTTTGGGTTTTGTGGAGGTGGGTAAAAATGAGGTTATGTATTAGTTCAGAAACGATTTCCCAAACTCAAAATACATCCGTTTAAAAACATTGCCCCTGAAGAGGCTCTAAATCAGAGGTGGCTAACCTGTGGAATGAGAAGCAGGAGCATCAGGAGAATGGTGTAAAAGTCCTGTAAGTTTTTAAAATGTCTTAATTTAGTGTTTCAGATTTCATAAGTATGTGGCACATCATTGAACACACAAAAATGAATACATTTTCACTTTATATTTTTAACTCTGTATTTTAACTCTATATTTAACTCTGTATTTTTAACCTGTTAACAGAACTTGTGCCACGGCTTGTAATGTAACTAAACCTGTAAGCAGGCCTCCGTTACTGTGATTTTGACCCTTATTAATTTGACAAGTCATTTTAATATGTTCGTCAAAGAAAACCGCAGTAAAAATCATGGCACAACTCAAAATCCACACATGAAGTTGTCAGCTCCAGAAAGCTGAAGTAGCAATGCAATTTCCAGCCTAGACCTTACCAATCCTTACCTGGGAAGGCAGCCCTCTTCCCCTGCTGGTACGGGGAGGGGAAGCAGCAGACTGGAGCCTGTCTGCAGGCTCTAGGTGCTTGGCTCAAAACCCCTCAGCTCCGCCGGTGCCGTGGCCGGGTAATTGGGGGTGGTTGGCGGGTGGTGGGTAATTGGGGGTGGTTGGCGGGCGGTGGGCTCTGCTCAGCTTGCCCGTCTCGCCACGGCACGTGCTCAGCAGCTGGACTGTCTCGGCGGACAACACGGGGCTTCTGCAAAGATTCCCCGTCCCTCTAGTAACGTGCATTTCAAATACTCCGTTGTATTAAGCACCTTTCAAACGTGGCCACAGAATAGCTCCCCCCGCCCAGTTTTCTTCTAGCTTGTCTTAACCACAAAGGTGGTGGCTGTTGTCAGAGCTCCCTGCTGCAAGTGAGCTTCCTCAGTGACTGTTCAGCTGTCGTGGTGGTCTTCCACTTACAGGCATAGTACCTGTATGTCCCTGTTTGAATAGGAGTATTAATTGACTCTATCCTTTGAGTTACAGGCATACTTAACTCCTTTCCATCTAATCTCTCTTCCCATACTGAAGTCTTCATTTGGACTTTGTAGAACCTCTGTAGCTATTTTTATTTAACCTGTTCCGGGGTGGGGGGGAGTATTGTGTTTTTTCTTACTGTGTAACATACCTGTGTTGTTAGGCATATGAATAATTTCTAGAAATCCCACTCTGCTTTCCAGTCCCTCTGCATTTATGGCTGCTTTGTTCAGATCAGATGTAGGAGGGGGGAAAAAAAGACCACTGCTGTCTTATTTGACATTGATAGCAAATACAGGCAGGGTAAGTAGAAAAAAATCAGTAGTTATATTTTGAAGAGAATCGTTAAACTCTCTTTTTGTCCTCCTTCTGTCCTGCACTCAGTGTGTTCAGCATAAACTTCCTATGCGTGCTCTAAAGACGGTGCTCTGTTCTCCATCTCTTCTCATTTGCCTGTGTAAAGACATTTATTGAGAAACACCAGTGCCTTTTAACTGAGTTGAAGCGTATTACGTATTATGGTACAAACTTTAGATAACTACACTGTGCCAGGTCTGATTAGGTCATCTTTGCTGTGTTTAGATACTGAAAGTCACAAAACAAGCACCTGTGTGTATGTACCACTGTGAATGTCTTTGTCTTGATCTGCCAGTTTGTTTTATCAGTATGAAATTAAGTTGTATTTGAGTAGATTTATTTTTATGGTAGTACTATTCAAAAGGGCTTAGCAGTTGCTTTTCATTGTATCACAGCAATGGACCTAATCTAAGATACTGTACTGTAAGCAAAAGAGAATCTCTATGTTACAAGTTAGCAGCAAAAGTAAGATAATATTTCCAATTCTTACTCTGCAGAATGCTTCTTAGTTGCTCTGATTGTTCAAGTAATGTAACACATTCAGAGAGATGAGCAAAAGCTTGGCAGGTTTGTTCTGCCATATTTCCCCTGCAAAGTAAGAAAGGAGATGCAAGTATGCTTCAGAAGATTGACTGAATAATACTTACTCAAAGCTTTCCTTCATTTGAAAGTATGGAGAGGAATTGTTACTGTAGTGAAGAAATGCTGGGAAATGTAGTTGTAACAGAATAGATTTTTTTTTTTTAACAGCTTTAGGCACCTTGCACCTTATTTGAACTTAATAGTAATACTAGAGATTTAGGGTCAGACAGGCGTATGTCAGGCTAAAATGATCAAATTTGCACATCAGAGTGCTGTTTGCTCTCAGGTCTGTAAGAACATTTACAATCATCTTAAAGCAAATGATTCCCAAGTTTGTGTCTAAACACTCCGATAATTGAGAATTGATCAACTGAACATAGTTGTGACATTATGTGAAGATGGTGCACATGGTGTACAGTGCTTTGAATAACAAAATAGGTTTTAATGTAGAAAACAAAGGTGGCACAATAGCTAGTAGGTTATCTAGAGACTTTAGTCTCAGTTACAACATTGAGATGAAAACTTGCTTACTACTTTTCTTTTTTGAATCTTGGAGAATGCATTTGTAGCATTCTGCTTATATTTTGTGCAGTCAACTGATCCTTACCCGTGCTGAGCCATTCAGCGACGTGATGCTAGTCCACATCAAAACCAAACTCTGCGATGAAAGCAAGCTGCTACTTCTGACAATAAACCAAGTAATTGCGATAGCATCAGTTCAGGGCATCGATAGTAACCTGCCTCTGAAATGATCATTACTGGTTTCCTTGCCTCTGAAGCAACTAGTGAGACACATAGAAGAACTTCTTTTTGTTCAGTTTTAAATGCATCATCTTTCTTTCAGTAGCTGGATGTCTTTAGGAGTTCTCAAATAACCTTGATGTTTTTCATGCTTTGTATTCTTCAAAAAAGCTTTTTGGTCTCACCTCTTGTGGAGTTCTGTCTCATTTTTATCACCTTTCTCCGAGTTGTCTCTTTTTTTTATTATTCTTTCAAAGATTGGATTATGGTGTTTAAGGTACTGATGAGTTCATATATTGCTATTAAAGATGTGCATTATTTCTATGTTATCCATTATGCATTCTAATAGTGCATTACGTAAATATTTTCATGAAGTGATCCTCGGTGGCGTTTTAGTCTTCTGAACATTTAGCTTCTAACACAGGACTGTAGAAGTAATTCTTTGTTCCATTTTGCATTAAGTTGAATTTATAGATTTTTGCTTTCTTTCCTTGTATGCTGTTTAATCACCTAACTTTGGTTATTTTGCTGTCTTCAATAACTTGGACTTCTTTCTCAGTACTTAACGATACTGGTTCAGTCACAAGTTTCTGACATTCCCACTTTTGCTGTTCTCTGGGGTTGGAATGGACCTCTGCAGGTCATCTGGTCCAAAGCCCTGCAAAAGCGGGGCTGACTTCAAAGTTAGGTCAGGTTGCTCAGGGTCTTGTCCAGTCAAGTTCTCAGTATCTTGAAGGATACGACCTTCTGGCCAGCCTGTTTGTGCTTGACACCTCTCATGGTGAAGATTCCCCACCCCCACCCCCCAATACCTAATCAGAATTTCCTTTCCTGCAATTTGTCTGTTGCCTCTCAGCTTTTCACTGTGCGTTTCGAAGTTGATTGTAAATCTTTACTGTTCAGATACTCTCTGCTATGTCACTTCCCTGTTTCTGGGACTATAACCAGTTGGTCGTGTATAGTTTATATACTGAAGCGAACTGCTAATAGAAAGGAGGTTAAACCAGTGTTTTAAGAGACTTCACCACTGCTTCCTCTAAATTCTAGAAGTACGCCTTTCCTACAAACTTGACTTTGGCAAAGGCAGGCACCTATCCTGTGACGTGGTCCAAGAAAAACTGTTCGGTCCATGTCCAGTCCACAGGAAGCGGGAAAGGAGCCCAGCCTTCATTGCTGTGGCAACTTCAGTGTTGGAAATATTCAGACCAAAGAATTTGAGAACAAGTTTTGTAGTTGCCTTGGCTGCACGATGAGGAGATCTGGATTGTTTCAGAGTAGAAACCTTGTTTCAAGTTCAGTGAAAACAGGAAGAATTTTCTAGCTGCTGTTTTCTGTCATGGTTTTGATGTATGTCAATTGATTAATCAGGGTATCCAGGTCTCTAATGGATCTTTTTGGTCTGAAAATGTTTTCAGGTAGCTAACCGGATTAGCAAAGTGGTAGTTTCAGATCTGTGCCAGTTACATGGACACAGCTCAAATGACCAATTCTGATGGTAAGTATTCTAAGATTTCAGGATATAACAGCTGTCATTATTGGTGATTACT